TGTTATCTGGCACGAGTGGGGAATGGGGTGCTGGGTATCTAAATATTCCGGTTACCTGAGGGTGGTGGGTTTTGGCTGGACACAGTGGGGGGGTGGGGGTGGAGGGAATGTTGATGGGGGTGACACAGAAAGGCGGCAGTGCAGGGTGGACGTTTTGGCTGGACATGGAGTGGTGGTAGCACAGGGTGGTGGGTGGCAGCGGCAGCCGCTGCATGCAACCTTTCCCCCCCAATCCCGTGTGTCTGGCTGGCCGGAAATTCCGGTTAATACAGTATAGCACCATGAATGAAAGGGATGTGGGGGTAATAATAGGCCACAGTATGAATATGAGACGGCGGTGCGATGCTGTAGCCAGTAGGGCAAATAATACTCTGGCATGCATCAATCGATGCATCTCCAGCAAAGCCAAGGAGTGATTCTCCTGCTCTACTTAGCACTGGTGAGACCGCAGCTTGAGTACTGCATGCAGTTCTGGGCACCACACTTCAACAAGGACATGGACAAGCTTGAGAGAGTCGAAAGAAGAGCCACTTTTATGATCAGAGTCTTACACAGCAAGCCATATGAGGAAAGGCTGAGTGATCTGGGACTCTTCAGCCTGAGGAAAAGAAAGCTGAGGGGACCTGGTAGCAGCTTACCACTACACTAGGGAGTACATCCAGGGCTCGGTGAGCAGCTGTTTACCAGGGAACCCAAGGGGAAAACCAAGAGTAATGGCCACAAACTCCTGGAAGATTGATTGAGGCTCAAAATCAGGAAAAACTTCTTCATAGTCAGGGTGTCCAGATTGTGGAGTAAGCTCCCTCCAGAGGTGGTGCAATCACCTAACCTGGGAATCTTGAAGAGGAGACTAGACAGTCACCTTGCTGGGGTCACCTGACCCCAGTTATCTTTCCTGCTTGATGCAGGGGGCTGGACTTGATGATCTTCCGAGGTCCCTTCTGGCATTACAATCTGTGAATCTATTCCGGCTAGTAGAATGCTAGATAACAGGGCTTTTACTGTACTAGTTTTTGAAATTTTATCTATGAATTGCAGATGTAAGTTTTTAAAATTCCACATAGATGCATACATTTTGCTGAATAAAACTAAAAAATTCTTGCACCCAACTCTTTTTACACTATAGTAATACCATAAGCTTGAATAAGTAACATGATCAAATTTCTGGAGTTTTACCTCAGTGCTCCAAGCTTTTATTTGCTTGTCATAAGCAAAAAACTTACAATTTGTGCTCAATACCATCTGTTAACAACAGCAGCCACACGCTATCTTGACTAAGATTTCTCTGTGCCCTTCCACTACTCTTCAATCATACCCTCAATCTTGGCTAATTTAACTGCCAGCAGTAAGTAATTGCAGTTATGTGTACTAGTATTAAATGAGATCACACAGCTTTTTATGATAATTTATTAATAAGATCTTAGTCAAGCAAAGGTTGGACAAGGTTCACCACCACGATTAAAGAGAAAACTCAAACAGACCCAGGAAAAAATATTTTTTTAATGGTGTTTCCCCCCCATCCCTGAATTATATTAAAGATTTAAGGGCTACTGTTAGCATAGTGTATGAAGAGAACTACTTGGAACTATAATAAAAATTACAGTGTTCAGGTTCCAACTTTTGATTTTTATTTTTTTTTTAGAAAATTGATTATGGCTACTGAGCAAATGCAAACTTGAACCAAAGCACAGAGCTGATTTGTGTATCCAGTCATAAATAACCTTATGTCTGTTCAGGTTCAATTATTTTAAGTTGTGATGAAAATTCTAAAGGTATGAGATAAGTGTCAGAGGTCATTTAAAAAATTCTTAAACTTTTAAAATATCCCTCTGTGGATAATTCACATTAAGATGTTTAACATTTTAATGTAATTAGGCTTGTTGTATGCAATTAGAGAACAGGATGCATTGGTTAGTTTATCATTCATCAATAGGAAAGTCTGCACAAAGATCAATATGTTGTATTAATTATGTGTGTAGGTAATTACCTTTTGGGTTTTGATTCTTCACCGCTGAAGTCAGTGAAAATGTGACTGGATCATGATTCATGATTTCATGAATCTGAATTCATGAAAGCTGGATCATATCCTAGGAGATTACAAAACGTTATATTTGAATCCCAATGAACCAAACAGATGTAAGTTTTTATATTTAGTTATTTCAGACTAGGGAAATTTCAGGCTAGGGAAATTTATATTTAGTTATTTCAGACTAAGTGGAAAATGAAGATAAATTCCCCAAATCAGTAACCTTAGCAAAAACAATTAAATGTATTTTGGAGTTCAAGGAAAATGACAGTCCTATATATGCATTATTGGGCAAAGTGTAATTGAACATTTACCCCCACTTACAAAATAAATAACGTAGAAAATTATCTCAGTTCCACATTTTCAAACAGTTTTATATTTATGAATTTATAAGGGAAAGTAAATTGTAGAATAAAAAATAATGGTGCATTAGCAGTACAATGCAACACAGAGGCAGACTGTATTATCTGCAGGGAATAGTTAGCATAGGTTAACATAGTAGTTCTTTGAAAATATAATACTAGGATAAAATATTGTCATTAGAGGATTTTCGTATGTATACAAAGAGCAAGTAATAAACTGGCATAGAATAATAAAACTGCTTAATGAGCTAGTAAAAGTCAGAAGGGAAACATGAATCAAACCATTCCCAGATGACCTAAAATAATCTTCCAAAAAGCTGTTTTATATCATTTTGATCTATATTTGTTAATATTTGATGCTGTGTGATGTCAGTGATCCAGAAGAATATGAAAGATGTTGTGTGTGGGCGTTAATTTGTGCACCCAGCATGAGGTAGAATGTTTCATAGATTTCTAATATTTCCATGTTAATTTTAAAGATGAAGAATTAGAATTGTTTTTATTAAAGTTAACAATGATAAAAGTGACTGACAAGTTAGTAATAATAGTCTTTTTCTGAACCAGTTTCATCTGGAAGACAGATTCAAGGCCACGGTGAAATATCCTGTGACAAATTAACCAGGGTGATGATACAAGATAGTCTGAGATACCAGCTGTACCCAGTCCTAAATGGTGTCCAAACTACAGATGGGTATTTAAAACAAAAAGAAAGATTGAGTAAGAGAAAATCAGTTAGTTATTTTTTTTAAAGATAAGTCCAAACTTACTTACAGATTTCAGCGGTGTTGGGAAGATCAACAGCAATGTGATATTGCAATTCGCTGTTCAGAAACTCATTAAAAAAATGCATTTTTGAGATGACAATGAATGTTAATTTGGGTTAACTTCCATATATTAATGCTTGATCATTAGATAGAGTGCTGAATCTGCATGAGTTGATTTTTAGATTGAAAGACTGTACTGTGTCGAAAGAAAAATGTTGAAAGAACTGTATTTAAAGTCATATATATGGTCAGCAACTAAATATTTTTAAACAGTGTTTTAAAATGAAGATAATTGAATTCATTTAAAATTTAATATCAATACAAAGTTTCTGTCATAGTGCATATATAAGAGATTAATGCTGTGTTTTCATCATAATATTATGAACCATATCATTATTATCATTAGTAATCCATTTAGTTACTTTCAATGCAAATAAAAATGTTTGGTAAAAATGCGGCTGTCAGATGATACTTTTTTACTAGGTATAGAGATTTAAGTTGTTTGAAGTTTAGGGATTAGTATAGATCTTATTTAAACATAAACATATACATATTTTTGTATTTCTAGAAACTATGTCCTCCTGAGCCCCATTTACATGTGTTTTGGTAATTAAAGGTTTGTAAGCTTAAATCTGATTTCAGAACCCTAAATTAAATTCTTTGGAAAGTAAATCACAACTGAATAAAATGTAATGGGAAACGGGGAATATCATATTTATAGTCTAATCCAGTGAAACTGTTTTTGATTTGTGAAATATGGAGTACTGTTCCCAGAAAGCTAAAGCCTACTGTTTTTCAAGTGAAACAGGCTGCCCCACAGTGTAGCAGTAGTATTTGTGGAAAAAAAACAGCACAGTTTAAAAAAAAAACAACCAAAAAAACAAAGTTTGGAATTGTACCATTGTTGCTGGAATATGTATATTGATAACTGTATATTAGAAATAACATGATTGGCAAAGAGAGAGTGGAATATAACTGGATATATTTAGGGAAGGAATAGATTCTCTTGCATATTACTCGGTATTCTTCTGGTATAAGAACTGCTTCAATCTTAATATGAATTAAAATACTTATGAAATAAATATGCATATTCCTGTATCAGAATGAATCCTTTATCTACTATGTACAGTGTCGATGTATTAATTGGTTTATATTAGGCAACACTTCTGACCCTTGAATCTTTTGTAAGTATGCTTACAGAGTAACAATAAATGTGTTTAATGTGCAATAATGCTTCAGTTAATAGAGTATTATGGTACAAATTTACTTTTATTGCTGTCAGGTTAACACTGTTACCAAAGACTAGATTTTTTAAAAATATGATTAATTATAAAGAAGAGTACTACAGATCCCTCTACTGCGCTCAAATGGAGTGTTTTAATTTGTAGTGCAAGACCTATTGGCTCGGCTTTTATGCATGAATATGTCATTACTACTGATTGTAAATATTTCTCTAAAGTGCACTTCAACAGTCTGGAAGATTTCTATGTTTCGGATAACTTCACGTTAATTTATAGTATCTTAGTGAAGCCAAGGTCCATTTACCATGTTTTCTGTATCTATGCTAAAAGAACCTTTAAGAAACTCAGATTATTCGTTTTACTGCGTATGACTACATATTCTACAGTGGATGCAAAGAGAAACAATATCAATAAAATAAACAGATTAAGAAACATATTGCCAAGAAGGGGAAACTGACAAACTAGAATGCAGTTTGAGGAATGCTGCTTCCAGTTTTAGCTCTTCTACCATATTTAATTATATAGAGAAAAATGTGCAAATATGCACACACTGTCATGTGTCACATATGAATGTTTTTGTTAATTTTTTTAAACTAATGCATTCTAGGCTGAAAACAGTAATAGAAGAACTGATTCAGACACAGCAGACACTTCTGAATAAAGAAGAGCAAGTCCTGGAATTAGAGAAGAAGTTAGAAGAATCATCCAAGACCTGTGAAAAGAAATCTGAGTAAGTATGACAGAGGTAACAAGAAGTAAAAAAAGTTTAAAGGAAAAAGTAATTATTGTAATATGGTTCCAAAGAGCTAGCATATGAAATTTATGTAAAATAGATTTGCTTATTTTTAGTAGGAAAATATTGGTATATTATACAGGCAGTCCTCGACTTAAGATGGTTAGAATTGCAACGAACCGCAGTTCCAATGTTTGTAAATTGACACCCAGGTTTCAAATTTACAATGCTAGATGCCGGAGACAGGTTTGTCAGTGGAAGGGGAGGGGGAAGGGAAGGGTCATTGGGGCGCAGATCAGGGCCCCTGTGGTGAGGGAGGGGCTCTGGCAAATGCTGCCTAGCCGGGGCTGCTGTGTTCTGCAACCAGAGGCTGTGAGCAACCGGAGAAGCAGTGACTCGTCAGGCTGCTTCCCTGTTTGCCCCCACCAGGGAGAGGCAGGCAGAGCCGGGTGGCTGTGGGAGAAGCCGTAGCTCATCTGGCTGCTCCTCAA